TGAAAATTTAAATTTTATTTTTTACTTTGTAGAAATTATTTATTTTCGTTCAATAAATGATTCTCTATAGTCTATTACTTGTTTTGCTCTAAAATATTCATAAATTAATTGACGTATTAATACTAATATTAGGGTTAAAAAAAGTATTCGATATTAGGACACTTTCTTCTTCTTCTAGTTCCATGACCGTTATCGATCGTTGGATATCATGTTGGCTACCATATTCGCTATCGTGACTTTATTGACAGCATCTCTAAATAACGATGTAGTTGATTTTCCATACCATTGCCTTAGATTTTTCAGCCATGATGTTCTTCTTCTACCAGGACCACGATTACCTTGGATCTTTCCCTGAATGATCAGATGTAAACGATCATATTTTTCAGGGTGTCTCATAATATGACCGAAGTATTCCAGCTTGCGTTTCTTTATTATATTGACCAGTTGTGTTGTTTGGTTCAGCCGTCTAAGGCCCTCCTCATTTCTAACTCTGTCGACCCAGCTTATTTTCAGTAGTCGTCTGTATACCCACATCTCAAAGGCTGTCAAGCGTTTAAGCATAGCCTCAGTTAGGGTCCACGCTTCTACTCCATACAGCAGGACAGGAAAGATGTAGCAAGATACCATACGAACTCTAAGGTCAATGCTAAGATCATGACTGCAAAGTACGTTTCTCATTTTTACAAAGGCAGCTCGGGCTTGTTCTATTCGGCTTTTAATTTCTGCGGTTGGATCCCAGCTCTCATTGATATTACTGCCGAGATACACGAGTTTCTCTACTCTGTTCAGTGTGGCATCTCCGACTTTTATACCGTCATCATGTATATAATTTTGTTTGCTAACTATCATATATTTAGTTTTCTTAACGTTGAGTTTTAATCCATACTGATCACAAGTCTGTTTTATTTTGTTCATTAGATTTTGAAGGTCTTCTCCGCAATTGGCAAGGACTAAGGTATCGTCGGCATATCTAATATTGTTGACGGTTACTCCATTCACAATAATACCTTCGGTTGTCTGCATTAAGGCTTCCTTAAATATTTCCTACGAATATAAGTTAAAAAGTAAAGGCGACAATATACAGCCTTGTCTCACTCCTCTTTTTATATTTATTTCATCCGACAATTCTTGTTCAACCTTTATTCTTGCCATTTGATGCCAGTATAGATTTGTAATTATTCTTAGATCTTTATGTCCAATCCAACTGTTTCCAATATTTCTAGCATTTTGTTATGTCGGACTTTGTCAAAAGCTTTTTCAAAATCGATTGCACAAATATACACATATTGATTTATATCTCTGCATCTCTGTACTAGCACCTGTATACTAAACAAGGCTTCTCTTGTACCCAAGCCACTCTTAAACCCAAATTGAGTATTGCTAATTCTGTCCTCTAACAGCGTATAAATTCTGCTGTGTATTACTCGCAGAAAGATTTTCAAAACGTGACTCATCAGACTTATTGTCCGATAATCACCGCATGTCTTTGGACGATGTTTCTTAGTTATTGTGACAAATGTCGACTTTAACCAATCAGTTGGTAATATCCCAGTGTCATAAATTCTATTAAAGAGATTACACAGAGCTTTAATTCCATTTTCTCCCAAAAACTTTAGTATTTCAGCACTTACTTCATCAGGGCCAAGTGCTTTTCCATTTTTTGCCGTTTGTATTGAACGTCTTACCTCACTTTCTGTTATAGATGGACCTGATATAGCAATCGGTGTATAGTGTTTTACTCTCTCATCTTTATATAATTCAGAAATGTAGTTTTCCCATTCTTTTAACTTTTCATTTATGTCTAATATTCTGTGTCCGTTTCTGTCTTCTAAACTTTGGGATACTTGTTTCCATTTGTTTCCAGCGACCTCTTTCAATTTCTTGTGCAGATGAAATGTATCGTGTTTCTTTTCATATTGTTCAATTTCATTACATTCTTTACTATGAAATTGTGTTTACGCGTGTCTTATCTTCTGCCTGATTATTGCGTGGATCCTCTTGTATTCGTTTTTATCTTTATTTCTGACTTCTCTTCTTTGATCCATAAGTCTCAGTATTTCTTCTGTCATCCACCCTTGTTTTTTTCTTGCTTTTAGCGCACTCAATTTTGTTTGTTGAACAGTCTTTAAGATGTCTTTAATTCTCGTCCAGTTTTCCTCAGTACTTTCTTCTTTGCTTGATGTTAACTTCATCTTTTGTTCTAATATACTAGTTATTTCTTGTTTTACAGTATCATTTAGCATCGTTTCTCTATCAATAGTAACTGTTTGCTTATTCGTCCTTGCAACTCTTTTTCTTCTCAGTCTTATTTTTTCTACTAAAATATTGTGATCTGTTGGTAGGTACATCTGCCCCTGGATATGTTTTTACTGATAATACTGAATTTCTGTATCTCTTATTTATACATTAAAAATTAGGACACTTTACTCTACATTAAAAATATTGCAAAAAATAATAAAAAATCAATAATTTATTAATTTCGGCGCTAATGGGTTAATAGCAATAATGTTATTTGCCTATTAACTGGCTTCATTTCAATTAACTAAACGATTAAGGATCAAAAATTCAATGTAACCTATTTAAAACAAGGTTGATACTTCAGAATCAATGTATTGACATACACAGGGATCTCGCGTAATCTAGGTTACAGTTTTTCCATTAAAACATTAAAATAACAATTCTGTACCTATGATTTTTTTAGTATTGGTTGGTGCAGCCGCAGATAAGAGATCAGAAATGAATTATTTATTATATAAAGATTTGTTTTCTAATGTTTCTTATTTTTACTTGGCTTTCTACCTATTTGCTGTTGAGGCATAATTATTGTAAAGTCGTAAAATTGTATTACCGCAAAGTTTGTGTTTTTTCCAATAATATTTTTGAGGCGTTTCTTGCTTTTCAACAAAATTATTTCATCGTATTTTATTAAAGAGATCAAAATAGAATTATATTTATTATAAATCACCACTTATCTGTAATCCATAATAATATAATTATATGTTTAAAAGTTTTTTAAACCTGCAGTGTAGGCAACTCCTAATATTAAAATGAATAGTGCTTGCATACACTGCTGAAAGGACAAATTATGAATAAATCCAGTTTAAAATTTTAGCAAAAACAAGACAAGAAAAGAAATTAAACTATCCCAATTACAAATGCAAAAATGTAATACATAGTAAATGATGTACATTGATTATAATAGAATTAAAATAAAAAAGACTAGGCTATTTTAAAAATATATATAAATACAGTTTGTAAAAAAGGACGGAATGAAACCTTATGATTAAAGAGAATGAAACTTTAATATCGCCCAGTCCTTTTGTAGGACTTTAAGTTTTAAAATTTAGTAAAGGATTGCTGTACAAAAAAATATTTATACATTGCTTTCAAAGTATTATAGTCCAGGACATGAGCCGCTCCCTTAGGAAAAAGGTTTCTGATTTGGTTTCTTTACGCATTTCTGTTAAAAATGTCCCTTTTTTATATTTCAGAAGGTAGCCGGGCAAAATTTTTGGGCAGAAATTGTCACTACAATTACAATTTACAGTTACAAATTACAATTTTTTTTAAACAATTTCAAAAATTACCGGTTTTTGTTTCGACAAACATCTTTAGAGATAAAAATACGTTTATTGACGTTTCAATTTCCACTTCGGAAATCGTTCTCAAAATACAAACAGTAAATTAAACACATTTTGTTTTTTGTTACATAGTGAAAAATTCTTCTAATAATTTAATTTTATCTGATTCATTTATATTGACAATTCAGACATAGGTACATTATGCATTTTAAAGTAGACGACTTTAAAATGATATTGCCTATATTGTTGAGTTGCGCTCCTGGGACGACTTTACTTATAAGATAGTTTATTCGATTACATGAAATCAACTTTAACTTGAGAATATCCGTCAGAAAAAAATCATAGCATGTAATTCGTCTTTAAAAAGACAAACACATGACATGATGATAGTAAAATTCTCCTGTTAGTGATTCCATAGTAAATTATGAGGGAAAAACCAGGAAAAAACCTCATAATACTATCCCGACATTGTAAGTATTTGTTCGTGAGTTTAGTTTACCTTCAACAAACATCAAAATTCTGATTTTATATGTTACGTTATTTAAAAAACATAAATGATGTATGCTCTATATGTTACTGACTTACTAATACTGGTATTTTCTTATTAATAACTTCCTCTTTCAATATTGGTAACCAGATCCTACTACATTCTGCCGAGGAAATTGTGACACAATTGGCCTCATTTATTTAGCATAATTAGAGCCGATTCTTTGATTTTTCTTTTTTTACCATCCGTTTCTTTTAGGACTACATTTGAGTTATTCCATTGAACCCTATGTTCATTATCCCATGCGTGTTTACATATTTGAGATCTATCAAATTCTCTATTTTTAATATAAGATTGATGTTCACTTATTCTAACATTTAATGGCCTTGATGATTCACCTAAATAAAACTGATCGCATTCACAAGGTATTTTATAAATGCAATTCTTTGTCCTATATTTACAAATACTGTTTCTATTTTAAGAACGATGTCCGAAGTTGAAATTGAAACGTCAATAAACGTATTTTTATTTTAAAAACAAACATCTTTAGGTTTCTTGGGTCATTATAAACAAAAAATTCTATTGTCAGTTTCCTCTAAAGTTAATAATTCGAGACTGGAAAACTCATATAAAAATTATTATTTTTTAGGTTGCTAAGTGCCTAAGAAAAGTGCCTTTTTTTCTGAAAAATCAACAATTGACCAGATTCATTATAGGATAAGGCTGAATAGAAAGAGAGAGATATACTTAGTGTAACTTAAAATTCATAAACAAAAATATAATATTTTATGAACTAGGAGACCAACTATTCAATGTCATCAATAGACACAAAAGAAAAGGCCAGTAAGAAATAATACTAGACTTCCCTAATGTGCTATATTTTAGATGTAATGATAACAGGCAGTCACAACAAATGAGAATACAATAAAGAAAAGCTTATTTTAATAAGTTTTATTTATTTTAATTTAAAACTTTCATTATATTAAATGCTCCTCTTTAATAGCATCAGCGATCTTTTCAGCCATGGCCCAAATAGCCGCCAATGGATGACCTCGAACAAGCTTGGGCATCGATCCTGCATCCACTACTCTTAAGCTCGAAATACCATGAACTTTCATATTTACATCAACGACGGAGTTAGAGTCACTAGTTCCCATTTTAGTTGTACTTGCAGGATGGTAAAGAGTTGAAGTGAGGGAGCGGATAGCACAGTACCAATAATCCTTTTCTGATTCTTCTCTTAAGTGCTCGCAATCAGGAGCTTGAGCAACCACAGTTGCATTTACAGCTTGAAGTGGTTCAGTTTTGGTGAGGTTTATTATGAACTGGATACTTTCGTAGAGAACCTGAATGTCTTCGTCGTTAGTGTCTGATAAATAAGCGGGATTTATAAGTGGAAAATCAGCGGGATTATTCGATTTTAGTTTTAACCAACCCCTGGACTTTGGTTCTAAGTTTATGCAGTACACCAAGAAATCAGTTAACGTATTAAATGTTGAAAATACAGAGGTGTAGTTGTCATTGAGATTGTAGAAAGTAGCTAAAAATAAAAAAATATGTTACTGTATATATAAATGAAAAATGCACAACTGACAAAATAGGTAAACGATTACTTATTTGTAACAATACTGGTAATAATACTCAAATATGAAACTTAAAAATTGTTATTTTTTAATTTGACTTGGATTTCTCTATAAATTTATTCATTGATAACACTTGATGCATATTTCTGAGTCATATATGCAGGTTATTATATAATTATAGATAATTATTGTACTGTTAATTTATTTGTACATTTTATTTTTCTAGTACTCTTGACTACCTCCTACATTATGTATTAATGTCTTTACTAGGGTAATCTGTCTTTGCAACTTTTCTTTCAATAAGTTATAGCAATAACAAAAGTACTAATTTATTCACAGACGATCTTTTTGTCTACATCACGGATAAACCATTAAATTAATGGCAAACATATTGCAATTAATGCTAAACTAGCTAGAAGAATAGTTACCCAGTACAGGTTTTAAAATTTCAGTACCAAAAACTTCGGCAGTATTCTTCACCAAAAAACCACTAGTCTACCCAACACTAAAGTTATGTAACTTCAGACTGGAAATTTAAACTATCTGTAAAGGCATTTCTTCTTCTTCTTCTTCGCGTGCCATATCAGAACTATCCGACGTTGGCGATCACCATTGCGAAGGCTTCTCGATCTTCTGCAATATGGAATATTTATCCTGCATTTGGTATCTGAGACCAATCACGAAGGTTTTTTAACCAAGAAACTTGTTTTCTTCCTACACCTCTACGGCCCTCTATTTTGCCTTTACGGATCAGTTGTAAAATTTGATATCGACTTCCCTTACTACATGTCCCAGATAAGATATTTTTCGACGTTTAACAGTTTTTAGCAGTTCTTTGTCTTTGTAGACGCTCCTTAGTACTTCTTCATTAGTTTTTCTTGCTGTTTAAGGTATCTTCAGCATTTGTCTATGAATCCACATTTCCAGTGCTTCAATTTTGTTCATGATCGATACTTTTAGCGTCCACACTTCTGCACTATACAAAAGTACAGACCAAACATAACATTTAACCATTCTTTGCCTTAGTTCTAAACTGAGATGGTTATTGCAAAGAAATGACTTCATTTTCATAAAAGTAGGTTTAGTCATTGCTATTCTACGTTTTATTTTTAGATCTGGAAAGACATTTCTAGACATGTGATTTGATCAAAAACTGTCATTAGAGGAGCATATGATACAGCCAGTATCTGAAAAAGACTAAACTTATTGAACATACTGGCAAATAGAAATTGGAGATAAGATCAAACAAGCCCATTTAAAGTATATCGAACATTAATAGGGTTTAAAATAGATTACGGGTCAATTGCATATGGCTCAGCCTCAACAACAATACTTAAAAATCCTGTCACTGTACATAATCCTGGCATTAGAATTGCTCTTGGAGCTTTCCGGATAACTCCCATCTAAAGTTTACTGAGTGAAGCTATTGAGCCACCCCTACTTTACCAAAGAATGTATTTTACACTATCTTACTTAATTTCTTATGTTGAAGATTCAAGTTAATCTTTGTATGACAATATTGTTAATGATAAGTACATGGAATTGGTATCACACATCAAAACCTTTCTATGAAATAATTCGACTGTACTATTCTAAATTAAATATTCAATATCCAAAACTTTTTTCAGTATTCTCTGACAACTGGTCTCTATGGAATGTTGATGGTTAAATATTAAGGATTGAATAAATCCTGCAATATTTAAAGCAAATATGAATTTTATCTTGAACCTGCCGTACAAAGACTAGCTTAAAATATTGACCTGTGCATCAACAAGGGAACAGTGAGTTGGTGCAGCTATTATTACATCAGGTGGTCTCTTAATATTTGATCTCTTCTCTTATTGTATTACAATATGGTAGAGTAATATATAAATATATAAAGTTCCAAAATCAACATTAGAGGACCATGTAAAACAAGAAGTTCACCAGCTTCTTCTAGCCGGAGACCTGTATTGCCAATAAGCTTAAAAAACATTTGGTTTCCTATTTCTTGGAGATGAATAAGCGGTATTAAGGTTTAACAACATCGGTCATCAGACGGTTAGCTTCTTAACTTGCATCGCAAAATGATATTTCACATGTATTTTAAAATTAAAATGCTACAGCGGGTAAAAAATAGCTTAAAATATTCTTAAAACGTCATTCGAGCTTAAGTTTACGCAATCCTCAGGACCTTTCCAAAGCAAGAATAAAGGGCTTCAAGGAAGAAATCGTAACACGTTTTTTCAGATTGCTTGAATTCGCTCTGAAGGAAAGGTTTTTCCTAAAAGGTAAGAAGTAAGTTCCTGTGACTGCTGTTGAGTGATTTTCACTAGTTACTGTGGTGTTTTGAATGAACGCAATTGGTGGATTTGTCCCACCTCTGGTCGTGTATCCCCAGAAAAACATGAAGCAGAGTTACTAGATGGTGCTCCTCCCGGATCCATAGAGCATGTCATCCATCAGGCTGGAATAATGACATATATTCACACAGTGGATTAAACATTTTATTTTACATGTAAAACCAAACATAAATGATCCTGTAGTACTTGTCTCGGATGGACACTACATATGGCACTGCATACAAGAAATCTTAAATTGATTGAAAAGTCACTTGGCGACTGTCTGCATTTCTCCTTATAGTTCGTATAGGTTGCAGTCTTTGGATTAACCATTCATGCCTCCTTTCAAAACATTTTACTCTTAGAAAATACAATTATGGTTCAGCCATAATTCAAATCGCAATATCACATTTTTTACAAATATGTCTACTTATGTGCGGATCTAAAATACGCAAATGCTAAGACAGTGTTTCTCGAATACCGATTTCATTATAGAAAGACAAAGAAACAGAAACCCACAAGGAAAAATTCCTGTAGCTGGCTGTATACCACGTATAACAAAAAGATGTTAATCTTTGTAAATGGGTATATTTATTTAAAAAACCCTTAAAAGGGCCACATCAATAAAACAAACGTTTTCGGACCACACAGTCCATCATCAGGTTATTAAAATCGAAAATGCCTAAAAATAAGTATAAACCATTTAGTTAAAACAAACGAGATTTTGAAATTTTGACTATGGTTGAAAAGCAAAAGATGGTTATACTTACTAGGTCATAATGCCTGAGCCACCAAAACATTAGGATAAAAACCCTTTAAATTACATTTAGTTATGAAATGTTGTACATTGTGTTATAAAATAACTGTGATGTTCAATATTAAATTAAATTTGACTAAAGGTAACACATGGCTCAATTGGGTTCCAGAGCCGGGTGAGAGGGAACCTCTGCACTCGGAGAACAACGTGGAACTGATTGACAAGATACTTTTAAAGGATGAAGATAACAGAATGTCAATGCAACAAAAACTATAAAAGTTGTACATAGTATTACTACAGCCAAAAGATTCAACAAGTTTTGATGATTTTAAAAAATAACAACAATCTAGGTGTTGGGATTTAAAAACTTTTTATTTATTAATTTAGGGTATAAAAGATGTCAAATCAATGATGGTTTTATAGTCATGATTAATATAATGACCTGTGCCTTAGGCAACTTATGTTGCTTTTCGTCGTATGGAATGTGGTCTAAAGTGTATTTAATTTTGGGTTAGCTTGTATTTATGAAATTTATCCTTTTATGTTTAACACATCTAGGACAAGGTAAAAATTAAATAACAAATATTTGAAGCTAATATCAGACCTCATATTTAAATGACTTTATTTAAGAATGCTCCTATGGTGAAAAATTAATAAAATTAAGTTTAGTAAGATGGAAATCTACAGGCTGAAGAAATTGAAGTAGTAACATATGTGATTGAATTTAAAATTGAAGAGACTGGGTTCCTCAGAGACTAATGAGAATGAAAGTAAAAGAAATGACCGAAGAAAAGAAGGGGGGGGTTGAGGGAGAAAAGGAGTTGATCAACAATTAGAGATAATAGGGGTCCTTTATACTTAAAGTATCTAGCACCCTGAACAAAATCTATTTAGGTGGTATTAAATTCAGTTTGTAGAAACCTGAAATTTGTTGTATAAGTGTGCTACTAAGTTGTTGACCTTGGTTCACCTTCTTTCGGTCAACAAGACTAGTGTGACAAGAAATGGAACATCAGGACATGTAGATCTCGGTAACAAATAAGGAAAATGAGGTGTAAGTTATGTGCTTACCAGCACGCCTTATAAAAACGAACTGGCAATTAGCATAAAAGAGAAGGAAAGAACGAAGACATTACAAAAGAACACAACATTGAAAAAAGTGCAAGAGAACCTTAAAATAAGGGCAAAGGTACGTTAGGAAATAATAAGTAAGTCAAGCGGAATGTTCGAGACTCGGAAGCATCGAGCGACTCTGTAGAGGATTATATTATTCAAGAGGACGACTGTGATATGGATACTAGTGATGTTGAGGCCAAATGTATGTGTTGCTGTGGATTTTTTTTTTTTTTTTTCGGTGGATACTAAAGGAACAAGGAGGATATAGGTGGATTAAGTCTTATCAACGATGGGCGTATGGGGATTATACCAGTAAAAGGAAGAAGTCTACATGCAATTTTTATTTGGAAAAGTAAATGTTGATTTAATTATTCTTCATAATATAAATAAATGAAGTTAATGTTCCTAATGTTTACATTTTTTGTTTCTACTTAAATTACTATTTGAAATTAAGATCCCAGGGTTTCACATTTTTTATATTTATATTATATTTTATGCTGTCCACTGTCGAGCATTAAATTAGGGTGACTTCATAATTTGAATTTATTTTAGAAATTATTAATCTCTTTTTTACTATTTTTACTGAACTTTATATGAACTTTAATTACGAACATTAGCTATTGAAGTTCTTAAAATTTCTTTTGTTTCAACAAAAAGCTTATTAAATTAAAATGGTTTCTTTACTATTTATTATATTAAAAGAAACATGTTAATCTTCCTTACTTTCAATAAACTTTCAAGGAAAAAGATGTTATTTTCCCATCCAATCCGTTAGTAAACCGAAATATAATTTCTAAAATAAATTCAAATTATGAAGTGACCCTAATTTTATGCTCGGCAGTGTATAATTATAATCTTTATGTCGCTAATATTCTTCGGAAGGATGCGGCTTGTTATTTTGAATAAAAAATACTAAAAGAGCAATGGGATACTTTAATGAGATTAATATTAGAATAATGAAACTTTAGTAGCATGTAGAGTAATCATACAATACAAATCATAACTGAAAACTGAGGTAAGATTTATAAAAAACTCATTAGGAGTCTTGACAATGTCTCAAAATCAGTTCAGAGACTGGAACAAACAAAATTTGTCATAACAAATTTCAAACAAACTATAACAATACTTTTGTGATGCAATTAAAACCCCAGAAAGCAATAACCCATATTTATACTGGCTATTTAATTATTTTCTGGTTTTAATTATTTGTGTGCATTTGTTCTAAAACAAAGTCATCTTTCCAGAAAATATTACATAATTATTGGGATTTCTAAAGTATTGTACATTGCAAATATAATTAAGTACCAACAACATCAATTTTTTGTTAAAGACGGTATATTATGAATACTAATTTAATATAGAAATAACGTACTAGTAAACAGAGTTGCCTACCCTTGTGCGTTCAAACGCCTTTACCCACCTTTACCGCCATCTGTGTAGAACTGTTATTATCGTAATAGTACTACAATGGACCTACTTTGCAGATCTCTATTACGCATACATAAAACTTATTTATACTATACTTGTTACTATTAGGCTAGTCAAGTTAGTAAAAAATACGCGTTTTTTCGTTACAAGTGTATAGACGGGTTGGACAGTTGAAATGGGTAGTACGAGATATTAGAAAAATACTTTCATCTAGGTATTCATGAATTTTTTAGTGGAACTATTTTTAAATAAACAATGAAAACTTCAAACTCATTATTTTGCTGATAACTTATAAACTAGTCTATTTAGAAATTTGACGTCCACAGACAAGGTGAAAGTGTTGAAAAAAAAAATACACAAAATGAGATATACTAAATTAACATCGGTTAATAAACAATAATAAAACATAATAGCCAAGCAAAACCGCTGTTTTTGATTATTGATAATAACTCTTTTATTAATCATTAAAATTTATTTAAATGTACCTATCTAAACTTAAAGATCTCATCGTGTACGAAAGATAGGCTAAATCCGTCGAATAGTTTTTGCACAATTTAATTTGTTTATAAAATTTTTTGAAAAATGCACAAATTTCTATGGCTTGTCCAGATAATTTGACAGAATGGATCTTAATAATCCTGATCTTATTTTCTTCGTTAAGATATATATTAATATGCTATGGACAAAAAGTTAAAAAAATTACGTCTATGTACACAAAATGATTTACCAATAAATAGCACTTTTTAAGCTCATAAACATTGACAATAACTCCGTACTATTTAGTTCAAATTAAATGACAATAAAATATTCGGAAAGCTGGTTAGAACACACAAATTTAAAAAAAAAAGGTCCTGCGACCATTAGAAGCCGAGTTATTCCTTTTTTTAAACCACTATTACATCAATTAACAACATTAAGGCCTGAAATTAACAAATCTTTTAGAAGAAAAGTCAAAGTTTTTAAAAAAATGTTAAGCAAACAAAATAATTGAAAATTGTTTAAACAGGAGTGTTGTAAACCAAGAGTACTTTGCGTTCCGACTAGAATGGAAGGAGTGGGGATAGCCGATTGCACACAAGCCGCGCTCTCCAAAAAAGTCGAGCGCTCGGTTTCAAACTAGAACGCTTGGAAAAAAAATGACATATCTCGGGTTCTACTGGACCAAATTTGCTCTTTTTTTAACCTGGGGTATATTAAATAAATATTTTTTATAAAAATTATTAAATTGTTATTGACAAACAATTTTTCCATATACTGTTATAAAATTTGAACAAATGAGTTTTTTAGCATTAAAAAATTACTTTTATAACAAAAAATCAATTTTTTGCTCTTGCTCCTACGCACGGAGCAGAATAAAATAAGACTTTGTTATCACATCTAGAGCGATCCCTAGCGCGCATCTACCGTTTAACGTCGAGGAATTATTTTTTTCCCGTCATCGTCGAAATGCACACTGCACACGCTTCAATGCTGAATTTCTACCTTCCAACTTCAACCGTTTATAAAATAAGCGATCTTCCTTGTTGAGTCAATAATGATTTATAAGTTATGCTAATCTATTTTAATTAATTAACCAGCTATTTCTGATATTTCTCACATACATAAATTGGGAAGATAAAGGTCTCTAAAGAAGTGCTTTAGGATTGTAAAAATTGCTTGTAAGCATATGATATCTTAATAGTTTGAATGGGACAAAAGGTATATTAAAATAAAGATTAGTAAAATATCCGAATGACGTTAAAAACATAGGTTACGGGATAATTATGATAGCATTGTAGCTAACGTTGATTGTCTTGTAGATATATTGCCGAATGAAGTATGTGCAAATAAAAATATTTACTAGTTTTAACATAAAATGCTTACCTGGTGGTACACTGGTCGGATTGTTTATAGTTAGGAGTTCAACATTGGGTGGTTCGACTCCTGGGTTTTTGGTATTAATGAAAGCAATATTGTCAGCTGAAAAAACGGTAGTGTAATATCCTAAACCTTTTTCCCAAAGCTCTAAGTTAGACTTGACAGTACCAGGATCTGCAGTAAGATTTGTTCTTATATACAATCCAACGTAAACTGGATGATCTACTAATTCAACTCCAACAGGCAAGTCTTTAACTACTTCTATTCCTAATTCTTTCAATTCGTCTTTAGGTCCCACACCACTAAGCATAAGAAGTTGGGGACTGTTGATTGGTCCGGCTGAAAGGATTACTTCCCTACTAGCGTGAGCTTTGTATAGCTTTCCATCTTTAACAAATTGCACTCCTGTAGCTTTTAAGTTAGAAAAAATAAGATTAGTAGCAAATGCATTCAGCACAACTTTTAAGTTATTCTGTGTATTTAGAATTGGTGTGAGGAAGGCATTCCCTGCTGTAACTTTGGTGTTGAAGGCTATAGTCCATTGGAATTTGGAGATACCGATTTGATTTTTTCCGTTATAATCAAGGCTGTTTAGACCCGACAATTGACTTGCCTTTAAGTATGCATCATAATCTAAGGGGTTGGGGTATGTATAGTTGACTCGAAGTAATCCATCGGTACCATGGTAATCTTTTTCATAGTCTGGTAATTCAATTTTTTCAGTCTTCTTAAAATATGGAAGAAGGTCATCGTAACCCCAACCATCTAAACCTAATCCTTCCCATTGGTCAAAATCTGCTCTGTTTCCTCTTGCATACACACTGTCTCCTATAATTGATGTTCCTCCTAGACCTTTTCCTGTGGGATAAACGCATTGTTTGTTTGCCATTCCTAGAAAATATTTACTTTTATTACTTAAATTCAATTAATAAGAAAAGATAAATTAAAAAAAATATGGTCGTAATTTTTATTTATAAAAATAATAAAATTACAGTATATTTGTTACAAGAAAAAAATGTAAGAGATATTTCAAAAAGACACTGAATACATATCTTAAATAACAATATAGAAAATTAGATATAAATGATGAATTTGGGAATTTAAGAACATATCGCTAATGCTTCCGAAGGAACTATCCGTTAAATATTTTTTCACCAAAAATAATAAATATTTGATAAGTCTAACAATAAATCACTGAAGACTTTTGTTTTCAACACTAAAATAAAATTTATTATCACTACAGCAATTTTGGTAGAGTGCTTTTCTCAAATTACTCAAATACTTTCTAGTCTTTAAATAAATTAAGTTGAGGAGCGAAGAACTGTTTGTTTCAAATTGGACATTCAGAATTATATCAATATTTTTTAATTTTTAATTTCCATGATTCCAAAAAAGATAGCTTAATGCCTTTATTTTAAATATGAAAAATTGAAATTGGTTATTAAAAGAATGATTATGGTCTAGAAAGTGAAGTGCGTGAGTGGACCGTAATCATTTTTTTAATGACCAATTTCAAATTCTCCACATTCAAAATAAAGGCCATCTTCTTATTCTTCTTCTTCTTTTTTTATATCGACAAGACTCTGTCTGTTTTTCAATAAGCCTCCAGTAAGTTGTCATTCCATCGTTTTCGTGGTCTTCCTACTGATCGTCTTCCTATTGGAAAACCGTCTCTTGCCATTTTTACTACTCTATTTGTTGTCATTCGGCTCATATGACCGTTCTATTCTACTGTTCTATTTCTTACCCAGTTCTTGATGTTCTCCACCTTGCATCTACGTCGTATATCTGTACTTCTAGCTCTGTCCCATAGTATCTTACTATCAATTTTTTTGTGTTCTCATCTATACTGTTTCTAACATCCTTTCTGTCCTCTCTGTGTCAGCTCTTGCTTCTACCGCGTATATCATTATTGTCTGATGTCTGTTTTTGTAAATTCTGCCTTTCGTTTCTTTCCCGATATTTTTATTTCTCCATATTGTTTTATTTAGGCAGCTTTCGGCTCTATTTGCTCTATTCAGTTGATCTTCTACTTCCATTTTGACCTTTCCATAGCTAGATAATGTGATGATTATATATTTAAACTTCATCACTTGTTCTATTATCTGACCTTCCAGCTCCAATTTACATCTTAGTAAATTTGCTGTTGTAACCAGGTATTTTGCCTTTTTTCAGGTATTACCAGACTTACCATCGGTTAGTTCTTCTTCTACTTTTCCTTTTATTGTGTTGTTTTGGTAGATATTATCTTTTTGATTATTCCTAGAGGTATCTCTTTTGCGTACAGTAACTGGATGACGTCATTTAATTTGACCCGATTAAAGGCCTTTTTAAGGTCCACGAAACATAGATATGCGGGTTTATTGTACTCTAATGATTTCTCTTGCACTTTCCTAATTTTAAATATAGCGTCGGTGCATGATTTTCCCGACCTAAAACTTTTTGTTCTTTTGCTAGTGTTATAATTTCATTTAGTTTATTTGTTATTACTTAGGTTGTTAATTTTAGTATTTTGATTAATAAATTAATTGCTCTGTAATTTTCCGGGCTTGATTTGTCCTCCTTTTTGAAGAGAGATATTAGGATGCTTGCACTCCATTCTTAAGGAATTCTGTTCTGTTGTATTACTTTTTGTACTAGTTTTAATAGTTGTTTGGTCAGATCTGGTCCTCCGTACTTTAGGAATTCGTTCGGTATTCTGTCCTCTCCTGGTGATTTTCTATTTTTTTAATTTCCTGAATGCTTTCTTTACATCTTCCTCCTCAATATTTATTTTTTTTTGTTTGTCGTCACCTCTGGTTTGGGTGGTTCACTACCGTAGCATAGCAAATAGGGATCGAAAGTAGTCTACATATGCTTTGTTCTGAATGTGTTTCGTTTTTATTAGTTCGTTCGTCTCTTTTCTTTGTACTTTGATCATTCTCCATATTTCTTTTTGTGTTCCGTAGAGTCGTGTTCCACCTGTTTGAAGAAACTCTGCCAGCGCAGCGTTCCCTTTTTAATTGTCTAACTAAAGTATTCGTTTCATTTTTAATTCGTGTATAGTTGTTGCATGCTTGTTTTGTTTGTTATGTTCTGTATTGTAAAAAATTATGTATTGTTGTATGCTTTTCCATATTTATCACATTTTTTCTTCACTTCTTTTCTAAACCATGGTGTTTTCTTTTTTAATATGTAAGTGTTCGCTACTTTCCTCTCTCCAAGTGATTGTGTTGCTGCATTAATTATGTTATTTTTGAGTTTTTCCCAGCTTTCCTCGATGTTATCGTTGTCTAATATTTTATTCCCAGCGATCTTCTCTGATATACTTTTCCTATATAAGTACTCCGTGGATTCCGTATTAATTTAGTCGTTCAACTTTGATTTTTGTTTGTGTTGGCGCCGCTCTCTATGGCTATGGTCGCTACCTACATCTTCTTAGTTGAGGCATTTTACGACGATTATTTTCGATGGACGTATATTTCGGTTGGATATAACATAATCTATCATAGATCTTTGTCCAAGGGTGTTATTAAATGTATATTTGTGTTGGTCTTTGTGATCAAAAAAGTGTTGTTTATTCTTAGTTCTTTATTCGTGCAGAAATTTATTATCAGTTCTCCTATTTGATATAATTTTCATATTAGTGTATTAGTAAGGCTACACCTTCTTTGGCCCTGTTTTCGTTTGCTACTAATAAAGGCCTTCTTCTTCTTCTAGTTCCATGACCGTTATCGATCGTTGGATATCATGTTGGCTACCATATTCGCTATCGTGACTTTATTGACAGCAGCTCTAAATAACGATGTAGTTGATTTTCCATACCATTGCCTTAGATTTTTCAGCCATGATGTTCTTCTTCTACCAGGACCACGATTACCTTGGATCTTTCCCTGAATGATCAGATGTAAAAGATCATATTTTTCAGGGTGTCTCATAATATGACCGAAGTATTCCAGCTTGCGTTTCTTTATTATATTGACCAGTTGTGTTGTTTGGTTCAGCCGTCTAAGGACCTCCTCATTTCTAACTCTGTCGACCCAGCTTATTTTCAGTAGTCGTCTGTATACCCACATCTCAAAGGCTGTCAAGCGTTTAAGCATAGCTTCAGTAATAATAAAGGCCTTAAGCTATCTATATTAAAATCTATGAAAATTAACAAATGAGAAAATACAGATATAATTTGCCTTTTAGTCTGCTATCAGCGAAAAATATATAATTTTTACTACGTGATTGCGAAGACTTTTACGGCGAGAATGATTACTTTCGGCATCGGTGAAAAACACTTTTTTCATCTACGTGCCAGTAAAGACTACTAGTGAAGGGCGAAAAAAATTACTTTTCGTTAGTTTTTAAGGAAAAACATTATTTTTATCTGCATGTCCGTGGGTCTCTTTTTGTTAAAAAACTTTAAAAAAATAAAAAAAAAATATTTTCAATTGAGTAATGATGTTGTCTAATAAAACTGAAAAAGTAATTCCAAACGTTAACTACAAATACATATAAACGTAAAATTCATTTTAATAGATACTCTTACCCAAACAACTTTTGTTTTGTGGTACTGTTTTATAACCCCAATTAAACTCGGAATTTCTTGTATAGAGATTCATAAAAGGAATATCTGTAAATTGGTTGCCGTCCGAACCTGCTTCTAGTACCAATACTTTCCAGTCTGAAATTTCGCTTAATCTTCTGGCCAGGAGTGATCCCGCCGTACCTCCGCCGACGACAATGAAATCGTAGGAGCCATATTCTATAAATAAAATAAAAATTTAATTATCCTAAGACAACATTTGTTTACTAAAATACTATATTTTTAGATTTGGCAACAAGTTGATACGTGTGAATTTTAGAAAAGTCTGTTCCTTTAAACAATATTTCCACTTCGACCAAAAATATTCACGTGTTTGTAGAAAATTGTCTTCATGCACAAATACTATTGTACTATTAATAAAATAAAACAGAAATATTACAAAAACGTAGGTATAACTATAAAATGTGATAATATTTTTCAGATAATAGACATCAATAAGAATGGGAATTTCGAGATAGTAGTGATGGATATGATAGTGATGCCGACCCAGTATCTGAAATGAAAGATACAGTAATTAGGAAAGTGATGACAGCGACTGCTTCCATTAGGAGTAACAAATTTTAGAATTTTGGTACAAAGATACTTAATAATAATATTGTACCAGCGTAATAACCAAAGTAATCAGCAAGATGCAATATGCTTGCATACAGCCGAAAAAAGTGAACAAATTGACTAACAGGAGAATGTGTTGCATATTTTCAAGCCTTATGTGAGGAAACTAAAAGCAGAAAAAAATAAAACGAAACGCATGTAAATATGTTACTGATAAGGAAAAAATTAAACGAAACGTGAGATTAAGAAGGTAGTACCATGCAGAATAAAATGTAATGTTTGTTTAAATGCTGGTTTAAGAAAACTATATTTGATAAATATTTGCAAGTTGGCACCCATGAACGCTGCATGAGTTATATACGTAGATGTGTCACTTCCTAAGAAACTAAATGTCGTCGCATAATATCTGGGTGATAGCGGTAAAGAAAGAGTTGTAACTTACAAATATGCATTTGAAATTCAGGGACAACGAAAAATAGTGTGCAAAACATGTCTTCAAGGAAAGTTAGATGAATCCGAAAAGTTTATTTGCAATACACTTAAAAATAAGACGCAAAGTAAAACTGGTGTGTAGTTAAAGATGATAATCGCGGAAAGTGTATGCCCAAAAACAAAACGTCTCCTGAGCGAATACAATAAGTTATAACCCGTATAAACTAATTCACCAAATACGAAAGTTTATACACGCCGAGTGAATAGTAAGTTGTATTTACCTGTTTACCTCAATTTGACTGAAATGTATAGATTGTACCGTGCAGTCACAGCTGAGAGAGTTTAAGAAGTCAAGTTTTACAAGCTTAAATTGGCTTTTAAAATGCCGAAAACGGATGTATGTCACAAATGTGAAGTTTTGAAAATAGAGTTCACAATCACCAAGGATGAGGAAAACAAAAATACAGTTAAAGAATAACAAACAATGCATCATAAAGAAACTGACTTGGCATATACTTTTGATATAAATTACAAAAACTTAGCAATGGAACATCAGTCAGTGTTGTCCTATACATTTGACCCACAACAGTGTGTTCCGACACCGGTTTTAGAAACATGGGTTTCATTTTACAACAGAAAATACTGGACCTACAATCTTTCAATACACAATTGTGGAAATGGTTTTGCTTCATGTTATTTATGACACGAGTCGATGGCAATCAGAGGAGCAAACGAAATAGCTTCTGGTCTTTCTAAGGAGCTTTTGAATTTGCAACCCAAAGTCAAGAAAGTGATTTTGTATTCGGATGCTTGCGGTGGACAAAATAAGAATTTCTACGTAGCAAATATTTTCTTAACTGTTCTTTAAATTAAAAAATCGTTAGAGGAAATCGATCACGAATTTCTTGTATCAGGCCACTAACATATGTGATTCAGATTATTCCGTAATTAAAAAGCAAAAAAAAAACAAGTGGTATACAAATATTAAATCCACATGATTGGGCTACATTGATACGATGCGTAAATAAAAAGAAACCTTTTCGAGTATTCGAAATGTCACAAGATGATTTTGATGACTTTGCAGTATTGGTAAAAAGTGTCTTTGTAAAAAGAAAACAATATAGTGAAAAACGAAAATATCTATGATACGACTGCAAATGGCTGAGATACACAAAGGAACAGGGACTAAATTATTATAAAAATTTTTTTTGAAGAAACAGAAAACTTATTCATTTTGAACTTAAATCGGCGTGGTCATTTGATTTCATACTCTTCACCAAAAAAATATATGGAGCCACTTGCAATCTCCAAGGCCAAGAAAGATGATCTCTTGAAATTACTACCACTTATTCCAGATATGTACAAAAGTTTTTATGAGCAACTTGTACATTCAAATGCTACAGCTGACGTTGACCTAGATTTAGAAGACCTAGATCCAGACGCCAAAAATCAAGAAGTAATAAACGTAATTTGCAGTGATATATTTTACTGGCATTGGTTTTTTTATGTTTTGTTTATGCTCTGTTTTTAGATGTTATTCAAATATATACTAAGGTATTACTATACATTATTACTATAATGGCTAGCATGTTATTTCATATACGTTTAAGTCAGCAATCAAATCATTACCATACTAAGAATGTAACAAGTATATAAAACAAAAATATGAGAATATCAATACAACAGACGTTGCGGAAAAAAGCCTTTAATATCACTGCGTCTGTTAAGAAGGCTGTAAATGGTTTTCGAATCACAGAGATCTTTCACTTCAGTCCCAATGTTTTTTAAAGAAGAGTTAATATCTATACCAGTAGTTGAACAATATCAAGATAATGTGTCTTCTCTGCCCGATACACATCAAACACCATCACCAACACCAGTTCCCGTAGATGTACTACTAGGGCCCAGTGAAGTCCAAAATAAAAAACTAAGAGCTAAAGCAGCACCATCATCAGAAGATTCTTTATCTGAATCAGAATTATAGAAAGTTTTAGACATTGATTTGAGCGACGATAAGAATAAATCGGTGTAGCTAAAAAATGAAAGCTTATCTCGTATATCTGTTAGTGAACTATGCCCTCTACCGGCACTACCAGTCAGTAGTTATACAAAAACTAGAAGCGAGCGACCATTTTAACCAGCGGCGGTCGGCCAGGTGAAGTAGGTGAAGGTGAGGTTCACCAAAAAAATATATAATTAAATTGAGACAAATAAATAAAAAATGAAAGCAACATTATTATATCTAAATTCTGAAATCAATTATTTATTCTCTTTTAATTAATCTAAAAATTAAAAAAGACAACTAGCTTTATTAGCGGTAGGTACTTGAAGGTCAAGTCCTGACCTGTGTCACTATAGTAAAATTCATTAAGCGGTGCAGGAAAATATAAACATTAAATCGTGTTCGAACCGGTATGAACCGCCGATAACATCGCCAGACGAAATAAAGATGGACATTCCGGTTAGTTTTTAAATATTTTTGAAGAACTGTTACTTGCATTTATGCATAAAATATTCATTAATTTTATAAATCGGAGTATTTTTTCACTTACTTTGTATTCAGTGATAACATTAATTTATTTACTATGCAATAAACACGAATATTTGAGAAAAGAAAAAAAATAATAAAGTGTCATAATTATACTGTTACTTATCGGAACGAGTAGACTCATTTGGAAGATCTTTAACAATTATCTGTTAAATATATGGTTGTTTATATGCCCTGCACCGCTTAATGGAATAAGGTATAGCCGTGTAGGATTCAGGAATAGGTATTATTTTTGAAATGCGAAATCCATCTGCATAAGCGTTTACGGTTGCTATGGCAACGTGAGGTCAGCCTATCCTTAGTGATAGATGGTGATAGCTGACAAAACTGGCGAGTGCAGTTCCATCTAAAAATTCATTATCCGTCTTCACTACTACTGTTGGATGTGTATTTGGTATTCCTATTTTTCGGAAATTGCTCTCAGCGACAATATTTTGAAATTTAGTCTATTATATAGATATTTTTATATAGTGTAGTATATAGTTTATTATTTATTAGTTTAGTTTAGTCACAGTAATAATTTTATTTGTTTAGTGCACTTTATGAATACATTTCTCTGTGTTCTCGTGGATTTCGTTTGGACAAAAATAACTTTAGACAAACATGAATTCAATTAATGACTTGGTGTGTAATACATGAGACTCCGTTTAGGCATTAGAAAAATAAAGATAAAAGTGATGTTCTTTTACATGGTCGACCGACCAGTATTTTAAACATCTGCGTCTGATCCAGAGTTTTAATCGCCAAAAAACCCTCAATGAAATGTCAAGGTTGAGAACTAAAATACTCCAAGCAAGCAGAACGAATCGTATCTAGTATAAGTGCCCTATAAAACTGTTTTTAAGTTATTAGGGCCCTAAACTTTATACATTTTTTTTTAACAAATTTATAATGAAGCTTTGGATGCGAAGTAGGTACCAAAACTCCTTTTGGCTTCTGCAAGCTTTCCTTATCTTCACCACTTTTTAGACCACGAGCCGCCGCTGATTTTAACATCAACACTATTAAAAGAACAATTAAACAAAAAGGAACAAAAAAAGCAAAAGAAGAATGAGGTTAAGAAAGTTAAACGAACAGTTGGAGCTACTAAGGTAAAACAGAAAAAATAGTCAAGACGAAGACATATGGAGTGAAGGCACACCAAACACGAAATAAGCAGTATGTTCGGAGTTTGGATCAAATGAATTATGGTGAAGAAGTCATCTCTGTGGTCTCCGGGTTCATGCAGACTGCAAGGTAGCGGATACTGCTACTCTTTATATTTGCTTAAACTGTAAATGTAACTAAAGAAATATGTATTTTATACTTCAACCTAAGTAAATTTAACCATTGAAACTTGTTCATCTGTAATCGATATTTCCTATCCTTGATCGATATTACTCATCTCAATTGTCGATATTACCCAATTGATCGATATTATACGAATTTTAAGCAGTAATTGGTTAACTGTATGAACTAAATGTCCATATTATAGTTTTAAGTCCGTAAAAGCTATAGCAAAAAGTCTATAACAGTGTTGTCTTAAGTAGTCGGTATTTCCCCACCTTCCCCTAGTTCCCTTAGAATATCTGAAAGAAGCAAATCTAATCTGACTTGACAATGGCAAATGGTATATTGACGAAACATCGTTCTATTATGTTTCTATTATTTTATGTTATATTATACAAGAAAAATAGGCATAATTTAATAAAAAATATAATTGTTCATTACATAAGGCATAAAAGTCTTTGAAAATGATAGTAATTAGGTAGAGCAGTACACAAGTAATAAAATGCATAGAAAAAATTATAACATGGACAAAACGGTGGAGAATAAACCTAAACGAATTAAAGTATGTTTATATTATTTCTGCAATAAAAGGTGTCAATATTCAATTCCAGTTCGAACAGCCTAATTAGTGGAAGCAAAGGAAATTAAAATATACTAAGTGACAGATCAAAAACCAGTAATACTGAATTTATAACAACAATTTTTTAAACATGTTTCTTCAGGTCAGAAAAGTTAGGTAAAGTGTTGGAAAAAATGTAAAAAATTAATAATATGTTGAACCTCCACGGTGTCTTCTACTTTCAAAAATGTCTGGGCATACTCCTAATAAGACAATCGCTTTTTTCTTGAGATATTTTATCCCACGTACTTGAATCTCTTGAGAAAGTGCCGCTAGATTCGTTGGACGATGAAGTAAGTGAAGCAATATTTTTCGCATAATATTCCAGACGTTTTCAACGGGTAAAAGATTGGGAGATGTAGGAGGCAAAGACAAAAATCGACTTACAATTTTTCAAAATGCGCCAACATAATTCTAGGTGTACGCAATACCGCATTATCTTGTTGGAAAAGTCGGTTGGGTCTCCTCGGAAAACTGCAAGGTCACAAATCATAGCCAAACAGAATCTGAATCCACGACTAAAGCCTAAAGTATTCTATGTAAGGTTTTACTTTAGCCGTTCTCTGCATTAAGCCAGTCGACCGCTTCGGTGTCTATGGATGACAGGTAGGGCAAATTAAGGACGGAATGAAGTAAGTCAAAATTTTTGATTTGGTGACAAACAATTTATATCTTAATAGGCCTTCGATGTACTTCAAAGGCTGTTATTTACCTTGTGAACTTAAGGCGTGCCCCTAAAGATAAAAATTTAATGCGGCGATCTTGGTGTGTTGCCGTTCTTCTAACACACTCTGTACCTCATGCTCTTTATGTGAGGTCCTACTGATTGTAGAACTTATGTCCTACATTTCCGACAATAAACAACCACCGTCAATGTATCGATACTTCTATGTTTTTCTCGTAGGTATTTCTCTAAAGGACAAATGGGACTCACGCAAGCTCCCTATTCGCTCCCTATAAAATAGCTAAGTTGTTGAGAATTGGCTATCTTCTTTTTTCAGCTAGAATGAACCAATTAATAAAACCTTCTTTAAGATATTGTACTTTTATCAAAATACAATTGTAGCTACATAATACAACTACTGCTTACTTACTTTTTTGTATGAAGAGACGATAGCACAAAAACCACTTTATCGATATAGTAGAAAAATTGATTAGTTTTTATCCTGACTTATGAAAACATATTTCTGGAAACACCTAGTAATACATTGAGTATTATGAGGAGTTCTTTCTTTGTGACGAGTTGTTACTTAATATAGTTTGAATAATTAATTAATTAGTTGGTACTAAAGTAACACCAAGAAGAAAACAAAGATGTATTATCTCAAATTTAATAATATAATTCCTTACGTTATACTTAGGTACCAAGGGAAACTTATGAAAAAGTTTCATAACTCTAGTAAGCTTGATCGAACAAACAGACAGACAGACGAATAAACCAAAGGACAACAACTGTCGGGTCCTTATTTAAATCGGTGTATGTCTATACACGATATTCTTATAAACATATTTAGTCTTAAAACATAATTATTCTTGAATTTTTCTAGATTTGAAATGTGGTATTACAGAAAAGATAGTACGCACCGAGTTGTCGTTGTTGTTTTACTTTGAGTCTATGTTATGACAAAAACCAATTAATTTTGATAACCTACTCATAAAACACTAACAAAATTAATTATTTTAGATAATTTAAAATTGCTTACCATAAATATGATCATCAGTAACAGTTAAAGAATCAGAATTGTCTGTGGGCAATGTATAGTAATTTGTATAATTAATATAATTATTTACATAATCTACCAGTGTGTCGATATCATCTCGATATATTAATGCCCCATTCGAGACATAAACGAGCAGGACAAAAGTTACAAATTTTTGAAACATTGTCATATCAAGGCACTGGCAACACTTAATAATTTCAGCTTATATAGCCAAACAAAATCTAACATAAATTTTTATCTATTAAAAGCCTCTCAACATTAGTAAATAACGTAATTGACCTGCATTTAAATAAAAAAATGAATATATCTGTAATGATAACCGCAAACTTATTATAGCTAATGTTGTTGCTAACTGGTTTAAAATATAATAAACGAGAAAAAGAAAGCTTCCTTTGGTATTATTGATGCTTCTGCCCAACCTAGATGGTACAGCACGGACTGAAACGTGCGGCAGAGAAAACCGAGACCATCATTCGGAGGGGAAAAGGAATAGGCAAAGTATTAAATTACAATGTGCTGGGGCATGTCTAATACCCAAGAAACATGCATAGTACCTAGAAATAATATTGCACCAAAATGGAAATTGGGGAGAAGACGTAGTTAATATTCAACCACGTAGAATGCAAAGCTGCGAATGGTGCAGATGCGTTGGGGAGGGTCATGCCCAACATTAGGAGATCCAAATCCGAAAGAAAGAGGTGTTGTACAGTCGATCGTCCTCCACGCGGCACCAATCTAAAGAGAAGCGGTAGAGATAACGGCCTATAGGAGGCTCATGACACGAGTGGACAGAAAAAGTCTGTTTCGAGTGGCATGCGGACTGTGGACTGTGTCTGCGGCAGCTTTGTGGACCATCACTGGATGTGTTTCGTTGCGTATTTTGTATAAAGGATAAATTTAATTGAAAGATGGCAAGAAGAATTGTAGACCTATATAATGGTCTAGCTTTATAAAAATGAAAAATAATTTTGTAATCGTAATATTAGTATTCATCTACGAACTAGAATGTTAAAATGCTATGTATTCAGTACCTTGCTTTACTGTGTTGAGGCATGAACTCTTAAACAGAGGAATATTAAAAATCTTGAAAGCTTTGAGATGTGGTGCTACCGCCGTATGCTAAAAATAAGTTGGGTGGTTAAAATTACAAATGAAGAGGTAATACTCAGAATAAATAACGATCCAGAAGTTATCATGAATATAAAAAAGAGAATACTTGAATACTTAGGCCACCTGATGAGAGGACGAAAGTACACATTCCTACAAAATATAATGCAAGGAAAAATCCAAGGACGCAGAAATCCAGGCCGTAGAAGAATGTCCTGGATGGGAAATTTAACAGAGTGGTTTGGCTGTACCTTTTATCAATTATTCAAAACAACACCAAATAATTAGAATCGCCATAATGATATCCAATATCTGATAGGAGAGGCACTCAAAGAAGAAGAAGAAGAATGAAACAACACGGAGAATGTGGCACAGTGGACAATAATGCTGATCTCGAACATAAGAGATTGTATAGACTATGAGCACAGGCGAATGGATTATTTCATGAAGCGGGTGCTCACAAGACACGGGTGTTTTAGGGACTACCTCGTTAGACTACGAAAGGCTGACACAGATGAATGCCTTTGTTGTAGGCACTCGGACACTGTGACACATATGATGTTAAAATGCAACAGATTAGTAGTAGAAAGTAACAGAATGGAAAGAGAGACAGGTGAGAATTTTGTTATCGTGAGAGAAATGATTGAGAGGATGATTGAAAATGAAACATGTTTGATGCTCAGCTTTACAAATCCTATTTTTCTATTCGTTTCTATTCTGTGCAACTTGATGGCAGTTTACTCACCAATTTCCTGGTATGTTTCTCTATACCAGCCCTTCATCTTAACCTTAGTCTCAGTCTTTATCTAATTTACTCCGGTTTTTCCAATTATTAAAAAAGCTTAAAAGGGTAGCTAAAGTGGTTAATTGAATAGAAAGCAACAAAATATTAATTTACCTAACATTAAAGGCTAAATACATAATACCTGTTAACCTGTTCATAGGGTTCGTCTTCTTCTTTTTTTGTAGACCTAGACTCTGTATATTTTTCAATGTGCCGCCAGTAAGCTTCTCTTGCTGCCGTCTTGACTACTCTATTTGTTATTATGCGGTTAACATGGTCATTTAATTATATTCTTCTGTTTCTTATCCAGTTATTGATATTCTTCACCCTGCGTCTATTTTGTATTTATGTACCTTTAGTTTTGTCCCATAGTGTTTAACCATCAATTTTTCTAAGTGTTTTTATCTCTGCTGTTTCTAAAATTCTTTTTGTCCTCTCTGTGTCAAGTCGTGTTTATGCCGCCTATGTCATTGTAAGTATAATGAGTGTTTTGTAAATTCTGCCTTTCATTTCTATCCCGATATTTTTATTTCCTTATATTGTTTCACTCAGGCAACCTGCAGCTCTGTTTATTTTATTCTCTTGATCTTCCACTTTGGTTTCGAGCCTTTTGTAGCTAGATAATGTGAGACCTAGATATTTAAACTCCATCACTTGTTCCATTATCTGACCTTTCATCTCCAATTTACATCTTAGAAAATTTGCTGTTTTAACCAATGCATTTTTTCTTTTTTTTTGGAAATAAACATGTTAAATTTTCTGGTGGTTGTATTAAATTGGTACAGCATACGTTGTAAATCATCTTCAGTTTGAGATAATAGTATTGCGTTTTCTGCATAGCAGAATACTTTAAGTTGTTTTTCTTCCATTTGGTGTCCTTTTTTAGTTCTTATTTTTTCATTAGTTCATCCATAATCAGGTTGAACAATAGAGAACTCAGGGAATCTCTCTGTCTTATCCCATTATCAGCTTCAATAGGGCCAGTTAGTTGTGCTTCTACTATTACTTTTATGGTGTTGTTGTGGTAGATATTTTTAAACGTTTTGATTATTCCTGAAGGCATCTCTTTTGCGTACAATAAGTGGATAACATTCTTTAATTTTGACTTGGTCAAATGCTTGCTTAAGGTTCATGAAACATAGATATTTCCATTTGCTGTATTCTAATGATTTCTCTTACACTCACCTCATTATAAATATAGCGTCTGTAAATGATCTCCCCTACCTAAAATCTTGTTGTTCTTTATCTAGTTTTATAATTTTATTTAGTTTATTTGTTATAACTTTGAATTATATATACAGTTTAAAGTAAGATTATTGACGTTTTAATTTCCACTTCCACAATCATTACTTACGAAAATACTTACCATATCGGGATAGTATTAGGTTTTTTTCCTGGTTTTTCCGTTTCATAATTTACTATGGAATTACTATAAGAAGAATCTTACTGTCATCATGGCAGTGGTTGTCTTTTTAAAGACGAATTACATGTTATGATTTTTTTTGACGGATATTCTCAAGTTAACGTTGATTTTTTAAAGAGAGGTATTAGGATACTTGATTTCCATCATAAAGGATTTTTGTTTTGTCTATTTTATTATTTTTTTGGATTAGTTTTAGAAGTTGTTTGGTCAGATCTGGTACTCCGAACTTTAGGATTTTTTTCGGTATTTTGTCCTCTACTGGTGATTTTCTGGTTGTTTTTAATTTGATTAATGTTTCCTTTATCTCTTTTTCCTCAATATTTATTTGTTCGTATGCCGTCACCTCTGGCGTTGGTGATTAATTATATTCAACTTGAGCAAATAGGGATCTAAAGTAGTCTGTCCATATTTCCTTGAATGAATATCCTCAAACAAAATTAAATAAATCGAGTTATGTATGAATCGATTGGGATCACCGAAAATTTGAGAAATGGGACATGAAAAAAGGAAAAACGAGAAGTTGGATTTTGTAAAAAAGAAATAGAATTTTTAGCTGCAACCCCTTAACGAAAATGGTTATTTAAATTAAGACCGGGTTACAATCGCTAAAAAATTTAAATTTTATTTGAATGAAAGCGGTTCCTGTTTGTTCCAGCTTTGGGGCAAAACCTAGGTAAAAAGTGTTCTTAGGCATTCAATTTGCCAATTTGCATGTTGATAATGACCAATTCGTCAGAAATATGTATTTACTGAGGGCTTACACCTGCATTGCCTTTCTCCTTTTTTCACCGTTTTTTATAACAATGGCAAATAAAAATATTAATCAGAAATAAAATACCTAAGAACGGCATACCAACATTCTCAATGTCAAAAGGAGTTAAGATTATAGAGATGCTTATTATTCTAACTATATATATTACCGGATCCAACTTGTAAATACAATACATTTTGGAGACGGCTATCGCCGTATTCCCGTTCTCCTCCGCCAATCCTCCCGGTTTAAGGCATGGCCCTCCCCCAAACCTCTCGATTCCATCGCTCTTCTAATTCCTTCATTATATGAGCGTCTAGGTCTACCTCTTTTTCTTTTTCCAGGGGGCTTCCATCTGTAAAGTTTGTAAGGCCAAAGTTCATCAGGCATTCTCAATAGGTGTCTAAACCATTTAAAACTTCTTTCTATTCTGTCAATCATCGTTTCTGTAGCATTCATGTTATTTCTTATAGATTCGATAATCTTCCTTTCCAGCCTTGATATGCTAGCGCTTCTTCTCAAATAATCCATTTCAACTTCCAACAATTTTCTCTTCAGGTCTGCATTAATTGTCCATGCTTCAGAGCCATAAAAAAGAACTGATTTAACTATGTATGTAAAATATTTTTTTTTCCTTTTGGAAATGTTGCGATCCTACTATAAACTTAAAGTGTTTGGACATCCTACAATTTTACGTCCTGATTGATTTGGTGTTTGATTTCTTACTTTTATTGGTTGTAAGAATCTATTTCCGATTTTTAAGTGTGTATTCTTCTGTGAGTATTCCTAAAAGGTATGGACTAATGTCGAGTTGTTGTAAAGCTTACCACAATTTAAGTCTTCTAACTGTATCATGCGCCTTTTCTAGGTCGATAAAGGCTAGATGTACTTCGGTACCAACTGCTATTCTTTTTTCTGTCAATTGTTAGTATAAACAAGTTATTAGTGCAAGATCTACCAGGCGTAAATCCACTTTGGTCTTCGCTAATTAGATGTCTTACATTATCTTCTATTTTTCCATTTATTGTCTTTCCAAACAATCTCCCGAATCTCCCACTTAATCCTCTGGAGCAGTTCAAATCTTTTCGATTACCCTTTTTAAAGATGGACACTT